CATTTGGGCTGGGATTTGTGTAGCATCTTGGTCAAACTCAGGCCAAAAAGTTTAGCTTTTATTATTGTCTTTAGGAAACTGTTGGAAGCTTCCCCCACAGCAGTGATCTATCGAGAAGCTGTGCTTTTAGAACAATTACTCTAACTTCCAGGGGTGTTTGAAGTGAATTCGAGAGATACAAAGCATTAAGGTCAGAATCAAAGTGTTACCATTGTCCTGGAGGAATATGAGAAGGCCCTTCTCTGTCAATAGAAAAAGACAAGGGGAGGGGCACCTGTGTAACTCAATTAGGTTAAGCATCCAATAAACTCAAAGGTCATGATCTCACAGTTAGGAGTTAGAACCCCTCCGAGGCTCTGTGCCTTGCTGACAGCACAAGACCTGGAGCCTGCTTCAGATTCTGTGTATCTCTCTCTCTCTCTGCCCCTCCCCTGACATTACACTCTGTCCTCTCTCTCAAAAATAAACATTCAAAAAAAAAAAAAAAAAGACAAAGGGAATAGCTTTGAGATGTTGTGGAGGTTACACCTAGCAAATACCAGCAGAGCAAAATGAAAGAGAGAGATGACTAGGTGTGACACAGTTTGCTAAGACAGTGTGACTGGCTGGGAAACTGGTTGTGGAGAAAGCGGCTGACTCTCTTAGGGGCACTTTGACTTGGTGGTGTTAGCCAAGCGTGGCATGTGGCTGTGATCCAGTAAGACCATCTGGCTTCCCCGTCAACCTTGGAGGTGCTGCTTCCAAGTATGCAGAATTCCACTTGGGGCGGGAGCCTCCTCCCAACAGCAGCGGCTGCAGCACTCCCCAACCCAGGCCATCTGGGACAGGTGATTGTGGTGGTCTGACAGAGGGGCACTCTCACGACTTCCAGGAGGCCTCTCAGGTTTAAGCACCCAAGCAGGCACGGATTGCGGCAGCACTGTCCTGATGTGGGGCTCGAACTCACGGACCACAAGATCATGACCTGTGTTGAAGTCGGACACTCAACCGACTGAGCCACCCAGGCGACTTTTGTGCCATTTTTGGAGGTAAAGTGATTTGCCTCCAGTTCTTGTTACCACTACACAGAGCACTTGGGAAGCAGGACATTGCTGTGGGGCAGGTTCGAGGGTCCCTGCTACAGTGGCAGGTTATTGAAGCTCAGTTTAGGGAGGTAGAAACTGTTACAGGGTTCAGAGGGAACTCTAGATTTAGAACAGACTCAAGGCAGACAGTTGGACACAAACCGATGTAGGCTTTAAGGGACACCAGAAGTTTTCCCAGCATTCTGGGCTATAGCGTATATTCCCATAATTCAGTTTTCTGAACTTTTGAACTAGATCATTTATAAGTCCCAGCCTAAAGAAATCATACTGGAAATATTTTCTGAATTGAATTGCATGTGACCCTGCCACATTAAACATACAGAGTGTAATTTTATCTTTTCTTCATGACTTAATTATAGGTAATACTCGTTATTGTTTGGTGTTATAATAGACTGCTGTGTGCACTCTTTAAAGTCTTGTCTTTAATTGTGCTTCTGTTTCTATTCATAGTGGTGTGCTCACCATCTCACCCTCATGCTCTCAGGGTACCTACTTCTAATGTGTTGCTTCTAATCTGAGCTTGTTAGAATTGTCTACAATGTCAGTAAAGAGTCTGAATAAAGACGCCAGAGGACAACCCAGAGGCCTTTTTCAAACTTACTTCCCTTTAAGGACACAGCCCCATTTCACATTTTGAGGTTGCGATAAGCAGGTCCACCAGCTATATAGGGTGTTACCAGAATGGTAGAGAGTGAACCTCAGCAAAGGCTTTCTTTCCTCTAGGGCATTTACATTTCGTCAACTAAGTTAGTATAAGAATTGGGTTTTACAGTCTGTATGGATGTATGATTCATAGGCTGGACCTTGGTAAACTTGAGCAAAGGCTGGTAACAAGAAGATACCAAATGGATTATTTCAGGCACTAGACAGTCTACATTCTTCACTTAGGTAACAGTGTTTCTCAACTGGAAAATATCAGTATCTGGGAGTGATTTATAATATATGCATCTGTAAACTTTTGCTGTGGATCCCACTAGTAGAAAAATGATTTGAAATACAAGATGGTGTGGGTTTACGCAAGAGCAAATTGGGATTGGGGGCACCTGGGTGGCTCAGTCGGTTAAGCGTCTGGCTATTGGTTTCAGCTCAGGTCATGATCTCACGGTTTGTGAGTTCAAGTCCTGATCAGCACAGAGTCTGCTTGGGATTCTCTCTCCCTCTGCCCCTCTCCACTCTGTCTCTGTCTCTTTCTCTCTCTCAAAAATAAATAAACATTAAAAAGTAAAAAATAAAAATGTAATGTTTATTTATTTTTAGGAGAGGGAGAGAGTAGGGGAGGGGCAGAGGGAGAGGGTAACAGGATCTGTAGTGGTCTCTGCACTCACAACACAGAGCCCGACGCAGGGCTCTAACTCACAGACCACTAGATCGTGACCTGAGCTGAAGTCAGATGTTTAACCAACTGAACCACCCAAGTGCCCCTAAAAATATACAGCTGGACAATCTCCCTCTGTACTTACATCTGCATTAAGAACTGGTTCAGAAGTTGTGGCAAAGAGGAAAATCACCATAACTAAAATTTCAATTGGTTAGTTGTGAACAATGGAAACCCAATCATTTTTGTTCAGAAATGTTCTAGATTGGCTGTCACAAGATCCAGGCCAACATGTGGCCTTGGATATTGTTTTATCAGACTGAACCATGGTGTAATTTCAGAGTTAAGTTCTGATTTAGCAGTTTTAAGGAAGAGTACAAAGCTTACCATGTGATTGTCTTCGTGGTTTCCAACCTTATTGTAGAGACAGCGCCTCAACTAGGAGGCATAAAATGTGCTATGATGCAAAGAATTGTAGAGAATGTGCCAGAGGTTCTATTACACGGTCATTCATTTATTCAATCAGCACCATCTGTGGTGCTTCCACATCCTTCTCGCTGCTTACCCTCGTGCTTTATAATCTCTTCCTGTCTGCTTCCCAGTTTGACTGACTGACTCTAAGTGTCGCAAGGTTTTATTCCCTATTTGTATTTCCAGGAAGTAGGGCAGTCAGTGCCTGGTACATGAGAGTGACTCAAAAAAATATTTGTTTAATAAATCAATGGTCAAGAATGAGTGCTGGCAATGTAATTGTCTTGAAGAATTGACTTTTATTTTAAGTTAAATTATTTCCACACAGACATTAAACTTGAGCTTTTCTCATGAGCAGTTTGCTCTTTCTAGAGCCATCACTGAGTAAACTGTGTTCGATTTTCATTCATGAGAAAGGTGTCAAGGAAGGATTCCATTCACATTCATTAAGCTGACGCTGCAAAAGAATCATTGTTTAGTGTTGGCAGAACACATGCTTTGATCATCCAGCCTTTCACCGTCTGGAGGACAGCTCTTTTAACAGAAACCACATTGTAAGACACATTTGACATTATTTGGGTTTGTCACTTACAGCTGGGGAAAGCATTGACTTCCTGTATAACTTGATCTTCAAAATGGCATTCTAAGAAATATTTATAATGTTATAAAATTTAAACTGCATTAAGGAATTGGTATGTGGAGACAAATCAGTTCATTCTTGGTTAAATGGAGTTTTAGAAGAATTGCACAGTAGACTTGAGCTCTGTAATAATTAGTACAAGGAAACACATTTTAAGGTGCTGTCTACTACAAATTCACTACAGTAGAATTAGCTTGGCTTTTAGTGCAAGAATGTAAGGAATGCTCCAGGAGGTCATACAACCAGATCATTTAACTCAGTCTGGCAATGGTGTGATGCAATCCACTATGAAGTGGGCTGGTTAGCTACAGGACGTACCCTCCAAAGATGGACAAGTTTTCATGAGCACCCAGAGGAGTAACTTGGCATGCCTACCAACCACAAATAATCAAACATCTTCTTTTCTATTACAAAGTCAGAGAACCATTAAAAGATTAACATTTGGGAAAAGGGAGTCAAAATCATGCATGATCTCAATCACGATGATGGTGATGGTGGTGGTGGTAATTATAAGCCCTATTAGAATTCTGGCGCATTTCCTTTTGGATGTTTTTCTTACGCATGACCTTTTGTGGATTTGTTTTAATATTATAGGGCATGTATAATTAGGTGCCCTCCTTTATTTTCCTCTCTTACTAGCAGAAGTAGTTTTCCGTGTGGCTCCTAATCATCATTTCCAAACTCTCTAAAAACCCATTTTTCTATTCAGCCTATCCAATCTTTTAGGTCAATCACTTCCATAGAGGTGTTAGTTACTATGTAAAGAAATACTTTCAACAAAGCAATCTTTATTTGTCCAAAATTTACATATTTCATCCATTGCTGTATATCATACTTTTTCCATGAACTTTGATTAAAAATAACAAACATTTATGAGCATTGGCATAGGATATCCAGTTTAATCCTTATAATAACCCTTTGTATGGAGATACTATTATTATCTCCATTCAACAGATAAATAGAAAACAGATCACACAGCCAGGAAGTGGCATGGCTTGGTTTTAAATCCTGCCTTCCTGCCATGGCCTCTGGTACGTCTGATGATGGGCCCTTGAACTTTTGCTTTCTAGATTTGAGATCAAGTGTTTGAGTCCATACTCCTAGGGTAACCTTTTTGTCTCTGTGGCTAATTTCGTTTCTAGGCTACATCCATTTGCTTTCTAGTCAGATCATCAAAATGACAAACAGCATTCCTGGTACAGATACTTCAGCATTTAATGAGAGTGGAATGCTTCTGGTTTTAATTTTTAGCGTCCCTCATAATTATGGTCATATAAGTTATAACTGGACATATGGCCGTTGTCTTTATAAAAGGATGCCCGAACTGACTCTCGGTGTGTTTTTTTGTTTGTCCTTTTTTTTCTGGATTTGAACTATGCCTGTGTGTCTGACAGCTTGAATTACTTGAGTTATCAGAATTAAAGTAGTCTTATAATATCAAACTAGAAAATAAATCTCATTCACTTATGTCTGTTCGTTTATTTTTCAGGTCACGGAACAAAAAACCAAAGGTAAGATTGTTTTTTTTTTTTTTCCTTTTGAAGTTGTTGGAACCTTCTGTGTTTAGATTTTACATTCTTGCCAACTCAGCCTCCAATCCACTCAATTAGTGAGAGTGGGTGCAGAGTAATTAAATTGGTTGTTTGCGGCCACTGAAGAGCAGTAATGATAAATTGAAAGTACTTGTAGTAGTGTTTCTGGTTGGCCTTAATTTTTTTAGGAGGCAAAAAAGATTAATACCTTGTTTGGAAAGTATATGGGTCATGATTTTGAACTGAACCTTTTCAAGCAATACACTAGCCCTAATTTACAGATGCACATTGCAGAGGATTTTTAATCATCTTGATCCATGACATGCTTTGAGCCTAAAAGGGCGTGTTGTGTCTAGGATAGTCACATGGTCTTCTGAGCTACAGCCTGGAATATGCTTTTTTTTTAAATAATGCATTTTAACTCTGTTGCAAAATAGTGATTGATGTATTATAAACAGAAGCAGATAGATGTTCCTCACATCATCCTCAACCTAATGGTCTCTGTGTTTTCAGATCTCTCTTTCTAATGTTAATTTTGATTATGCAGTCTTGTCTGGTGCTGGCCACGCTTTTGGTCGGTTCCCTTTCAGGATGGTAGAATTGAGACCAATGTTTTAGCTCCTATCCTTGCCCACTTAAATGTGTGGTTCTCAACTAGGGTACTTATTAAAATCTTTTGCATAGACTCGTCAAAGTACACAAGCATGGACCTCCTCCCAGATCTTCATGGTCTCAGGCCACAGCCCTGGCAGATGTATTTTGAGAAGCTCTACAGGTGCCCCCAGGACATGTCCCAGGTTGAAAACCACTACCCCAGATGAAGGGAATCACATAGGACTGTGATAACTCAGAGGAAGGTCAGGATGATGGATCAGCCAAGATGTGATGGGAGGCCTCCGAATGATTGGTGTCTTCATTGTTTTATTTTCTATTATTGGACCACCAGGCCAAAGCCTGTCACACAGTGATGGAGAACTAATAAAGACCGTGCTAGTTTGTAAGGAAACTTAGTTCTGGGAAACAAATTCTCAGATGTCTAGACATTAATGTATTTCTAACCAAAAGGCACTTTCAGGGAGAATGTAGTCTAGGACCTTGTAGTGATTTAGAAAATAAACCGATAAACATTATTAGTTACGATTATCTTAATTACTTAGAACAGTGTTCTTCCCTTGTATTTTCAGGCAGTACCAACCCAGAAGTGGGCTTTATTTGGAAGTGTGTTTATAAATTACTTGTTTGAAATCCAAGTTATACTTTACCATAAAAATAGAGTTCTTGATAGTGGTATAGTGTCGATATTTTCTAAACCAACATACTGTCTAGGAAAGGATTTGGGCACATAGTATTTATATTAATAGGCCTTTTTGATGATTTATGGGGACAACAGATGAGAAAATTAGCATTTTCCTGGAAATTCCAGGCTCTGTGGTTGTTGGAACATGGTGGTTTGGTTCCTGGGCCTGGCCACAACTCTTAATGTTCATGAAGCCACGTCCCAGCTAAGCTGTGGAAGCAAGTTGCCCTGTATGGTACATGGTGTTTCTGTTGGAAAATCGAAAATCCATTAAGGCATTCTTTCTCAGATTTTTTTTTCTCTAAGTGTATTCTCAGAAACGCATTCCTCTTCCGGAACTCTACCAAAATCTTAAAAATCAAACTTTCTTTTCTACTTACTACTGAATTTTCTTTCCAGTTAGGATCTTTCTCATACCTACCATAAAATCGAATACAGCCTCACAGTTTCCATACTCTTCCCACCCCACCCCCACCCACACCCCCATGAAAAAATTAAAGTAAAATAATCCTAAAGAAAGATGAGCACCTGTTTCAGGTCTCCTAAAGAATGTAGTTAGTAGAACCACGGAGAAAACAGAGTAAAAATAAAAATGATCTCTGGAGTATATTAGACCGTAAGTAGAAGGAGAGGGAAAATGCAGATTTTGGAGAGACTAGGACAGGATTTCAAGTGGAGGTTATATGAAGACACGGCCTAGCACTGGGCTTGACCTTTCTGATTTTTTACCCCACTTCAACCACATCTTTATGTTTGTTCCAAGAGCCTGTCTGCACTCTAAATCCCCTTCTTCACTTCCCTCAGCTGATGTTTCTGGGTCCTTTTCCTCTTCCCAAAGATGACGCCTTCCTCAGGCAGTCTTCCCGTAACTCTGCATCTGTCCCTCTTTCCCCAGTAGACCCTGTAAGAAAAACGGCTGTGTTGGTGCCAAGTCTCTGTTTGTACAGAGGACTGAGATCAGATTTGTCCGTATTTCAGAGAAAAAGTAGATTCCTTATACGTTCTGTCTTTACCTTCCAGTATTTAAAAAAACAAAACAAAAACACAGAATTCTGGAGAATAGGGCGGGATTTCAAGTGGAGGTTCTGTGAAGACATGTGGACCTACTGGCCTGCAAACAGTACACAGCACTTAAGGTAGAGGCTTTGTTGGATGTTGGAGTTCGAATTGCGAGAGTCAAGGCGCCTGGGTGGCTCAGTCAGTTAAGCGTCTGACTCTTGATTTTGGCTCAGGTCATGATCTCACCGTTCATGAGATCGAGCCCCGCCTTGGGCTCTGCACTGACAGCACAGAGCCTGCTTGGGATTCTCTCTCTCTCTGCTCCTCCCCCACTTGTTTGTGCGCACGCACACATTCCCTGCCTCAAGATAAGTAAACGTTTAAAAAATAATGTAAAAAATTAAAAAGTTAAAAAAGGATCTCAAGAGGCTGTGGTGTTGATGTAACAGACCAGGTATAACAGGGACGAAGGTAAGATTAGGGTAGGCTGTACACTGGAGGGGTCTGGACATAGCAATTTTGCCTCGTGAAAAAGCTGTTAGGGTCATGGTTGGCTTAATGGTGCAGTTATTGGTATGAAATGACTGATTTATAAAAATTAAGCTGACCTTAAGTGGCATTAGTAGGAGTACAGCATCTAGGAAGGGATCTGCAGTTCTCTAACGGGCACCACACCGTGGAAAGAAAGAGATCGACTTCTGTGGAGCCTGTGCGGTTTGGGCCACATTGGTCAATGAATTTGAACCTGTGTCATATTTGCAAGGGTTAAACATGTAGGAATGTCTACCCCCAGGGGAAATGTTCCTACCTGAGGAAGCTCAGGGAGTGGTCTTCAAAGCTTTGAAAGGCTCTGGTGCCCGATGCTTAGCGGTCTCTTGGTAAATGTCTGTCGGATGTTTTGTTCAGTGACACTTATTCTGCTACCGAAAGTACTGATGGTGAGAGTCAAAGCAACAGGGAAAAAGCCTCCAGCCCGATATAAGTTGAGATTTTTAGGTATTATCATCCGCAGCAGCAATTCCGTGACCTTTACCCCACTGGGGCACAGCTGAGGGGCAGCACCTTCCCATCGGCATACTTGGTACATTGGCCACGACTCTGTCTTCTGAGTCTACCCCAGAAGGCGTATTTAGGAGTGGCTGGTGGTGGTTGGGATAACCTTGAGTCTACTCTAATTTATTAAGATCTGAGGTGGGTTTTTCCTTCCAAGTAAATAATTTACAAACGAAAGTACTCACAGTATCCCTCACACCTTGCAGAAACACCTCTGTATTCTTTAACACTAAGGTGGGCGCCATTTGTTCAGAGATGCTTCTGGCTGCCACTTGAAAGTGAATGAATGTGAGGTATAAGGCGTGTGGTTCAGATAGATGGCCACAGAATAGTCCAGATGAGAGGTAATGAGGGCTTGAACCTGTTTAGGAGTGGTGGTGATAGGAGGAAGGAAGGCATTGGAGAGATGTTTTGGTTCAGTGCAGTGTAATGATGATCAGATAATGACGACTTTTAGGTTTCTGACGCGAGGAGCTGGTTGGGTGATGACTCTGTTTCTTGAACTAGGAGATAATGGGGAGAGCTGGGGAACAAGTTTGAGAGTAAGGAGAAAAAGGGTGAAAGAGCGATCTGAGTTGGAGGTAGTGATTTGGGAAACACTTGGGCATACATGATAAAGTCTGAGCGTGGGGGAATTTGTACTCAAGTAACTTAAATGTGGGAAGAGTGTAGGCCCCACCTTCATGTTCAGATTTCTTAAAAAGACACAACTAGGGGCGCCTGGGTGGCACAGTCTGTTGAGCGTCCAACTTTCGCTCGGGTCATGATCTCACAGTTTGGGTGTTCGAGCCCCGCGTCAGGCGCTCTGCTGACAGCTTGGAGCCTGGAGCCTGCTTTGGATTCTGTGTCTCCCTTTCTCTGCCCCTCCCCTGCTTGCACTCTGTCTCTCTCTCTCAAAAATAAATAAACCTTAAAAAAAATAAAATAAAAGATACAACTCATAACCAAATTCAGGTGCCATCTTACAACTCTGATTAGGAGGTGGCCAGCTACCACCCTCCAAACAGATCTGACTCTCCTCCTGTTTTTGTATTGCCCATAAGCTAGGAATTTTTTTTAACGTTTTTTCAGTGGTTAGGAAAATTATAAAAGAATGATATTTTGTGACAGTGAGAGTGGTATGAAATTTATACTTTAGTGTGATTAGTACAGTTGTATGGAGCACAGCCACACTCTGTCGTTTGCGCATGGTCTGTGGCTGCTTTTGCCTATACTCACAGTAGAGTCGTCACAACCAAGACTGTATGGCCAGCAAAACCTAAAATATTTACTGTCTGGCCCGTTACAGAAAAAGTCTTCTGAGCCCTGACCAAGAGTGTAAGAACCCACAAAGGAAGAGAGAAAGGAGGAGCTGAAGAGCTGGCTGGAGTGGGTCTCAGTAGCTCTCACAAAAGCAGAGGGAGGATATGGCCAATAGTGTCCGAAGTTGCAGAAAAGTCAAGAGAAGGTCCAACAAGTGTCCATTAGACTGACAATGAAGAGCACTAGTTGTTGAATGAGAAGAGTTCCCAGGGAGATGTTCAGGGCAAAAGCCAATGTGCATGGAGTCTGAGGAGTGAGTACAAGGTAAAGAAATGGAGGCAGTGCTCAGAGATGACTGAGAACTCCTCAGTGCACAGCAGCCACTGTCTGTGTGTCCTCAGTCTGAGATTCTTGTTGTGTTGCATTGTAACTAATGATTATTTACCAAGAAATTTTCAGTTGAAAATAATGTCTTTTCTAGGGCTTGTATGTGTTTTAACTGCTACCTTTAATAAAACATTTCTAGGGGTGCCTGGGTGGCTCTGTTGGTTGAGTGTTCGACTTTTGATTTCAGCTCAGGTCACGATCCCAGGGTTGTGGGATCAGCCCTGCACAGGGCTCCATGCTTCAGCATGGAGCCTGCTTGAGATTCTCTCCACTCCCCATCCCCCCCGCCCCTCTCCCCTGCTCGCACGTGTGTGTGCATGCACGCATTCTCTCTCTCTCTCTCTTTCTAGAACAAAAAAGTTCTCATCACTAGAAAAAAAACATTCCTAGAAGGGTTTTTTTAGTGTTTGTACTATCAAGATATTTAAAGATAGTAGTTCTTTTTTTAAATTTTTTTTTTTCAACGTTTATTTATTTTTGGGACAGAGAGAGACAGAGCATGAACGGGGGAGGGGCAGAGAGAGAGGGAGACACAGAATCGGAAACAGGCTCCAGGCTCTGAGCCATCAGCCCAGAGCCCGACGCGGGGCTCGAACCCACGGACCGCGAGATCGTGACCTGGCTGAAGTCGGACGCTTAACCGACTGCGCCACCCAGGCGCCCCTAAAGATAGTAGTTCTTATTGGTCCTGCTTGTTTCAGATTTTTCTTAATGCCTTTATCTGAAAGAGTAGCATTTTATTGAAGTTTTTTCAGAAATAGAGGCAATTTAGAAGTTCAGACTGTAAGATGAGAATAACGGCGACAGGGAAAGGGAAAAAGATTCAGTCATAAGAGCAAATAAATGGTTCTTGGAAGTCATTGAATGGAAATTAGAAAATAAGATACCCAGCATTTTTCACAATGTCTTTGTTTCCCTTTGCTACAGAGATCATGTTTAAGCCACTGACCTTTTCTCTGGGAGATAAGAAATTATGCCCTTATTTTGAGCAGCTTATCTTTAAACCAATTTGCACTACAACCTACAAATCAGTAAGGTTCTGAAGAAAAACAAGAGGGACTGAAAAGTAATTCCCACTCCCTTATAATTTCCATCTCCTCTGTTAGCATCTGACATCCTGGAGCATGCTGTAATGCACACACTAACTCTGGGAGGTCCTAAGTTTGGACTTTGGGAAGCAGGTTGGATTGGGCCTCCTGCCTAATAGCTGCATTGCTCTCCAGTCTAGAGTTCTGATTGGCCTTTAAATGCTTCAAATTCTTGAAATCACAGAAAGGTGTAAGAAAGCAATTGAGTAAGAATTCATTCAAGTTCTGGGGCACGTGGGTGGCTCAGTCCATTGAGCACCCGACTTTGGCTCAGATCATGATCTTGTGGTTGGTGAGTTCAAGCCCCCATCGGGCTCACTACCCTCCTCAGATCCTCTGCCCCTCCCCTGCTCAACTCTCAAAAAATATGTAAAAAACAGTTCTGAAACACAGTTTTCTCCTAACATATAACTCAGAAATTTTCTGACTGGGTCCTGGAGTTTTGAATGACTAGTCTCCTAGACTAGCACGATATTGGAAGGAAAGTGGCTGAGAGGTAGTCTGATTTTATTTTTTAAAAAGGGTTTATTATTTATGATCCCTTCTATCCCTGATATGGTGGGAAAATGCTCTGAGGCACTTTTGCAGGGAATCTTGCACAATACATGTTACCCAAGTTTCTTTGATTATGCTGTGAATGTTGTAACGTTAGTCAAACTGGGTGTTCAGACCTCCATGCTGTTGACTGCCCTTACTATGTCTTGCTCTGTTTCAGGGAATGAGTCCAGGTGTGTAACAGACGTGGTTAATGTAGAGTGGAGATTCTAGTGCTTTTATGGAAGGGCGGCCTCGTGGAAGCATAGTTCCTTCTATCCTAAAAACCATTTGGGAAGATCCCTTGCAGCCTTTGCCGACGTCTCATTTCTTCTCATAATAAGAGGAAAGGGGACTGGGAATGCCATCTGCTATGCAATCTTGCAAGCACAGAGAGAAAATGAATCATTGGATAACTCATCTGCACTCATTTATCAGTTATTTTTACCCATCAGCTGCTGTAAGGTCATACAGAACCTACTATATTGATAATATCATATAGTGACCAATATATTTTCTTAAGAAATAGGTTTATTCTGCTCATCAGGTTGTGGATTCTCTGACCTCCCTTCCTTACTGGAAGGCCCGATACTGCCTCATGATTGGCTAAAGTTAGACCAGGGGTTGCCTTGAAGTTACTTCAGGCTCTTACTCTTCTTTCTTGGTTACACCCAGTACTCCCCAACATCCAGTGGAGGTAGATTGGGTACCCTGATTTCTGATGATGCCTCTCCCTTCATAAAGGAGCCAGTTCAATGAGCAACAGGCTGGCCCAGCACCATTGCAGTGGTCAGGGCAGTACTGCCCCGGAGTTGGCCCAAACATTACTCTGGATGTCAGGGAACGTGACCTCAGAATCATCCAAACTGTCAGGCTCAACGATTGTTTCTGTAATATTGCCAGCCTCTGTTTGCCAGGCAGATTTTCTTGGAAAGGGTGACAGTCTTTTGGTAGGATGAAGCAAGGGACATCGAGATCCAGAAGAATATTCTATGGAGGGCTGAGGGCAAAGCCCTCAACTTCTGCAGAGTGTCCTGCAGATTGTATCTTCATACGGTCATCCTGCACATTCCCATACTTCCTATTTGCCCTTTTTAAAAGTAAGGTAAAACATTAAATTCTTTAAAGTAAATAGGAAACATGCCTACATTGTGACATTTTTGTTTTAGATAAGAGTTGGAGTAAATATACAAGGTACCCTTAAGGCTTTTTTTTTTTTTTTTTTTTTTTTTTTTTTGACAAAAGCAAAAAAAACCCCACAAAACCAAACCTTATATAACATTTCTATTTGCACAGAATTTGCAAAGTACCAAGCAAGAGTGGTTGTGTTTAGGTAGCTGTAGAAACCCAAACCAAGTTGATTTTGTGATTCTCCAGGGCTGAGGTTTCCTGTGGGGGTCTACTCGGTGCCAGGACCTAAAAAATAAGATGAAAGATGGGTCCTTACCCTGGTGAGAGCAAGGAGCTTGTAAATGCGAGTTTCAATATAATATGGTGAATTCGTGGTAAAGAAAGACGGACAGTGTGTTCCAAGAGCACAAATGAAGGTGCTTAGCCTACTTAGTCCAGGGACTTCAGGAAAGGTTTCTCAGAGGTAAATCTTTAAGAATGTGGATAAAGGGCATTTGGGCTGAGAGCCTTGAACCTTTACTGAGGACTTGGCCTGGGGCCCATATGTACCCTTCGACCTGCTAGGGAACCTTCCAGGGATTTAGGGAAGTGACTGGTGACTGCTTCCCCCTCCCCCTTAGTTAATGGACTAGAGTTCTGGGGTATTGCTGTCTTTGAGTCCTTGTCACCCGCACTCCCCACCTCTGCCTGATCTCCAGTAAACTGAAGATGCAGGGGAGTTTAGAAAGACCACGTCCACCCACAGTAGGATGGAAGATCCATTACTGGAATTGGTCTCATGTAAGCTTTCCGAAAAACAATCTTCATAAAAATGTATTGGACTTCAAAGACCGTTCCCCACTCTCTCTCTTTCAGTGCCCGAAGTGACGAAACCAAGTTTAAGCCAACCAACGGCCGCCAGCCCAATTGGCAGCTCTCCATCGCCACCAGTCAATGGTGGCAACAATGCCAAAAGGGTGGCAGTGCCGAACGGACAACCGCCAAGCGCCGCCCGCTACATGCCTCGGGAGGTGCCGCCGCGATTCCGTTGCCAGCAGGACCACAAAGTGTTACTAAAACGTGGGCAGCCCCCTCCACCATCCTGCATGCTCCTCGGGGGCGGGGCAGGGCCTCCTCCCCCCACGGCACCCGGAGCAAACTCCAACAACGCACAAGTGACAGGAACGCTGCTGCAGAGTGACGGTGGGACTGCACCAGGTGAGGAGTCGGGGTCGGGAAGTGATTTCCTGGCAGCTTTAAAGAGAGCGAGCACTTCTTTTGTACTGCCTGGTATAGAGTCCCCAAAAGGCTTTTGGGGTCACTCCCAAGACAGGAGAGGCTCCCTGCACGAGCTGTGTCCCAGCACTTCTCTTCTGAAATTGGGTTTTAGTGTCCAGCATGTGCTGTTGGCAGGAGAGGCTAATGTGGCTGCCATACGTCATCCCCATTTGGGGCCTTTTTTCCTTTCCTGACAAGCACATGATAAACTCGAGCCTCCGTGGTTCCAGCTGTCACCACAAGTGTGTGCCCAGGGTATGATTGGAGGTGGGGCTAGTGCAGAGGCTTGTTCTGAATCCTGACTGCCCCTGTTTATGTTCGCAGAACGCTGCGGGGCAGAGAGAGAACCGTCTCTTCGATTACAGTATAAGATCTTGGGGGTGGGGAGGGGATACCAAACAATATCATTCTATCATTTTTTATTAGATTTTTTAAAATCATTGTTTCTTTAGAGGATTTTGAGCTCTGTTAAAAACTATATGTAGATATAAGGGATCTTTAGCTGAAGGGCTCTACTAGAAGTTTTGAGAGTTTTTAATAGATGAATACTAAATCACCTGATAGCAAAGAACCTCCAAACATCACCTCCCGCTTTTTTTTAAGCTTATTAACAGATGTCTACTTAGCTCTTAAAAATTTTTTTTGAGGTTGTACTAGAAAGGCTTGAACATCATCAAGCCTTGGCAAGAACAGTAAATTGGTTATTGTTAACTGTAGCATGCTTCTAGTTAATAGTTCTGAGTTTGAACACAGAAATGCCTAGAAAATTCTATTACTGTCTCATGTGCAGAGTAAAAATGGAGACAAACCTCATGGTGACAGATGCTTCATACAGGCTTTTCTGTGGTGGCCCCTCAGGCCAGGCCCAAAGCAGGCAAGGAAAAGCTTCATGGCCCCTCATAAGCATTTGCAAAAGGAAGTATGTGAGGAGTGGTCATGTCGAGTGTTTCTGCAGCCAAATGTAGCCAGACCTGGACGCAGACATGGGTCTGGGTCCAGTGTGAGTCAGATTCTCTTGTTTGCATTCTTAAAACCAAGGAGGCCACTAAATCTGAAGAGTTTGAGATTCTCTGCTTCCCTACTTTTATATGGCTCTATGTAAGATTTTTTCAACTTTATATTGATTTAAGACTTCTTGGTTAAAGTAACTAAAACAAGTTCAGAAGAAATTACTGGGTTAAAAACATGTGATTTCTCCCCTCTCCCCCCAAATATGATAAATTCCTCCAAAATATGTGCTGAGCCAGACTAATTTATCAGATTAAGTTCCTTAGGCATACAAACTGATTCCTGCTTGCCTGCCCCAGCATCTAGCTGCGTGGGCGTTCATCATTCATCAGGTGCTTACTGAGCAGTGATGCCCTGGCCACTATATGGAATTCAAACGTGAGCAAGATAGGGTCTCTGCCTAAGAGGGGGAGCTCTTGCGGAAGTCTCTGTGCTAATGTGGGGAAGGAAGATGTGACCAAAGCTCCACAGCACTGAGCAAAGTGGCTCTAGACAGGGAAGGGCATTTTCAGATGATGAACTTAAAAACAAACAAAAAAAACTCCTAGAAGAAACGGCACTTGAACTAGGCCCAGAAAGATGGGTAAATTTCAGTATGTGCATTCAGGAGGAAAAACCAGCAGGTGCCAATGTGGAATGGTGCCAGGATGAGAAGGCACGAGTTGTGGAATGTCAAGTAGTGTGGAATGTCGACATCTACATAGAAACCAGTGGAAGATAAGATTAGAAAAGTCATTTGGGCCCAGGTTGTGTAGCATCTTGATCAAACTCCAGGCCAAAGAGTTTAGCTTTATTATTGTGCGCTAGGAAACTGTTGGAAGCTTCCCCTACAGCAGTGATCTAATCGAAGCTGTGCTTTAGAACAATTACTCTAGCCAGGGGTGTTTAGAGTAGATTTCGAGATACAAAGCAAGGTCAGGGTGTTACTGCATTGTCTCAAGATATGAGAAGGCCCTTCTCTGTCAATAGAAAAGACAAGGGGAGGGGCACCTGTGTAGCTCAGTCGGTTAAGCATCCAACTTCAGCTCAGGTCATGATCTCACAGTTCGTGAGTTCGAGCCCCACATCAGGCTCTGTGCTGACAGCTCGGAGCCTGGAGCCTGCTTCAGATTCTGTGTCTCCCTCTCTCTCTCTCTGCCCCTCCCTGACTTGTGCTCTGTCTCACTCTCTCTCAAAAATAAACATTCAAAAAAAAAAAAAAAAAAAAAAAAAAAAAAGACAAGGGAATAGCTTTGAGAGATGTTGTGGAGTTACACCTAGCAAATACACCAACCAGGCAAAATGAAAGAGGAGATGACTAAGGTGTGACACAGTTTACTAAGACAGGCAACTGGCTAGAGAAGCTAGTTTGTGGAGAAACGTGATGAGCTCTCTTAGGGGCACTTTGAGCTTGAGGTGTTAATAGAGCGCGCATGTGTAGCTGTGATTGATGAGACCATCTCTTCCCCAGAGTCAACCCTTGGAGGTGCTGCTGCTTCAAATTATGCAAATTCCACTTGGGGCCCGGGAGCCTCCTCCAACAACGGCGCCTCCCCCAACCCAATTCACATCTGGGACAAGGTGATTGTAGACGGGTCTGACATGGAAGAGTGGCCTTGTATCGCCAGCAAAGACACTGAGTCTTCTTCCGAAAACACCACCGATAACAACAGTGCCTCGAACCCTGGCTCTGAGAAGAGCACTCTGCCAGGAAGCACCACTAGTAACAAAGGAAAAGGGAGCCAGTGCCAGTCTGCAAGTTCTGGGAACGAATGTAATCTTGGGGTCTGGAAATCTGACCCTAAGACTAAATCTGTTCAATCTTCCAACTCTACTACAGAGAGCAACAATGGACTAGGAAATTGGAGGAATGTGAGTGGTCAGGATAGAATTGGACCTGGCTCTGGCTTCAGCAACTTTAACCCAAATAGCAACCCATCTGCCTGGCCAGCGCTGGTCCAAGAAGGAAATCCTAGGAAAGGGGCATTGGAAACGGATACTAGTAATTCCAGTGCACAGGTTAGCACAGTAGGTCAGGCATCCAGGGAACAGCAGTCAAAGATGGAAAATGCGGGTGTTAATTTTGTTGTCTCTGGCAGAGAACAGGCTCAAATTCATAACACTGATGGACCAAAAAATGGAAACACTAACTCCTTGAACTTAAGTTCACCAAACCCCATGGAGAATAAGGGAATGCCCTTTGGAATGGGCTTGGCGAACGCCTCCAGGAGCACTGATGCCCCTTCACAAAGCACTGGAGATCGAAAGACTGGGAGTGTTGGATCTTGGGGTGCAGCTAGGGGGCCTTCTGGAACTGACACAGCCTCTGGACAAAGCAATTCTGGAAACAATGGGAACAATGGAAAGGATAGAGAGGACTCCTGGAAAGGAGCCTCTGTTCAGAAATCAACTGGGTCAAAAAATGACTCTTGGGACAACAATAACAGGTCTACGGGTGGGTCCTGGAACTTTGGCCCTCAGGACTCTAATGACAACAAATGGGGTGAAGGGAACAAAATGACATCTGGGGTCTCTCAGGGAGAATGGAAACAGCCGACTGGGTCTGATGAATTGAAAATTGGAGAATGGAGTGGTCCAAACCAACCAAATTCTAGCACTGGAGCATGGGACAATCAAAAGGGCCACCCCCTCCCTGAAAACCAAGGCAATGCCCAGGCTCCCTGTTGGGGAAGATCTTCCAGCTCCACAGGAAGTGAAGTTGGAGGTCAAAGCACTGGAAGCAACCACAAAGCAGGAAGTAGTGACAGTCATAATTCTGGCCGTCGGTCATACCGGCCCACACATCCTGATTGTCAGGCTGTCTTACAGACTCTTTTGAGCCGAACTGATTTGGACCCCAGGGTGCTCTCAAACACTGGCTGGGGCCAAACTCAAATTAAGCAGGACACGGTGTGGGATATCGAAGAGGTGCCAAGGCCTGAGGGGAAATCTGACAAAGGAACTGAGGGGTGGGAGAGCGCTGCCACACAGACCAAGAACTCAGGGGGCTGGGGAGATGCACCCAGCCAAAGCAATCAAATGAAGTCTGGATGGGGGGAGCTCTCAGCCTCTACAGAGTGGAAAGACCCCAAGAACACAGGAGGCTGGAATGACTACAAGAACAACAACTCTTCCAACTGGGGAGGCGGCCGACCAGATGAAAAGCCATCTTCCTCTTGGAATGAGAACTCCAACAAGGATCAGGGGTGGGGAGGGGGACGCCAGCCCAATCAAGGATGGACTTCTGGGAAGAATGGTTGGGGAGAGGAAGTCGACCAGGCGAAAAACAGCAGTTGGGAAAGTCCTGCAAGTAAACCCGTGTCTGGGTGGGGCGAAGGAGGGCAGAACGAAATCGGAACTTGGGGGAACAGTGGGAATACAAGCCTAGCTTCCAAAGGCGGGTGGGAAGATTGCAAAAGGTCTCCAGCATGGACCGAGACAGGCAGACAGCCCAATTCCTGGAATAAACAGCACCAACAGCAGCAGCAGCCACAGCAGCCACCGCCACCACAGCCAGAGGCTTCTGGTTCATGGGGAGGCCCACCCCCAGCACCTCCAGGCAACGGACGACCTTCCAATTCCAACTGGAGCAGCGGGCCACAGCCAGTAACCCCTAAGGATGAGGAACCCAGTGGTTGGGAAGAGCCATCCCCACAGTCAATTAGTCGGAAAATGGACATCGATGATGGCACTTCCGCATGGGGAGACCCTAACAGTTATAACTACAAGAATGTGAATCTGTGGGATAAGAATTCCCAAGGGGGCCCAGCACCTCGAGAACCAAACCTGCCCACCCCGATGACCAGTAAATCAGCATCAGGTAGGCAGTGGCCTTTTTTCTTGTGAAAAATCCTAAAGCAGGGCATTATTATTAAGCTTCATTTACTCAGCCTTGTTCTGGAAATCTTTCCTACGTTAACCCTACTCTGCTGTTTACAGAATCTCCTTTTTTATGAGATGATAGCAATAACAGATGCTGGTGGTACATTTTAATGTTCTTTCTTGGCAGAAGCGAAAAGACGCCATCCCTGTGTTAGTCTCCCAAAGTTTGGGAGGTTTTTTTTTGCTTTGTGTGGGTTTTTTTTTTTTTTTTTAATTGTATTGGTCTGCAGAATCCAAAAGATACAGCTCACTAAACAAACTACACTCCAGGTTTTAAAATGAAGAATTAAAATAGTAGCAGAAATAGACCTGGTTTCCATTCGAGTTCTACCCGTGGACACATCCTCGGTGTTTCTCCTTCCCCAGCAGAGGGGAAGTATTTTGTTGCTCTTGCTGGGGCCATCAGAATGCTCTAGCCCAGCTGGGGTCTGGAAGGCTTCAGTCACTCTCCACATGATTTTTAATGATCACCTCTGGAAGTGGAGTGCTTTGTAAAAGAAATTGTTCTCTCCTGATAATCACTTGCTCAGAATTAAACTTTTCTTCTTCCTTTGTTTGAATAGAAACATCATACCTGATAAATTAAAAGTAATGCTGGTAATATCATCTTTGGCACTATCAACTTGAATGTCCCCATAAAGCATAGAATTCAACAAATTAAGGGAATGCACTGTTCAGATGGGGTATTTTTTGTTTTTGTTTTTTAGTTAAAATTAATCATAGTTACCCACTCCCTGAGTAAGCCTTGGGGAGTGTTCAGTGAATGCAGTTACGGCCACTTACAAAATGATTGCTTTTAACTAGTTCTTTTTTTCCCCCCAAATATTGAAAAGTATGAGGAAGGAAATAAAGATTGTTCATTAAGTCCCTATCTAGCATAAAATCTGCTAACATGTAAAAAAAATTATCCATATAGTAAAAACCTCCAAACTGTACAGAAAAGCAAAATGTAATATATAAATGAATCTTAGCCCCTAGAATCTCTTCCCACAGGTAATCTTTTAGAGTTTTGTGTCTCATTCAAAAATTTTGTTCCTTACCTAATCTGTCTCCCCTTTACAGATTTGACACAGAAGGAATTGCTGTTCTCCGCTTTGCCTTTTTCACCCTACTTTAAAACTTTCCATGTTAGCATGTACGTTTTTGTCTTTTGTTTTGTGTACAGTATTGATTTCATGGATGATGCGATTGGTCGGACTAGCCCTTTTTTGATAGGTATTTAGGTTGCTTCCGAAGCGTTCTCAACAGCGATAGAGCGTTGTTGTACGTGTCATTTCATGTACTTTCCAAGTATATCTATGGTATAATTTCCTGGCAACGGAATTACTGGGCCCGAAGTTAAAGCAACAATACCAGTTGCCCCCTACGAGGCAACTGTATTTCTGTATTTGTATTTCTGCCAGCAGAACATAGGAGTGACTGTTCCTCTCACCTTCTCCCCACCCCCTACCCCTGGATGTTGAGATGTTTCATTTCACAAATCATTCTTAGAGACACGTTTTCTTTCTTTACAGTCTGGAGCAAAAGCACACCACCTGCTCCAGATAATGGTACTTCAGCTTGGGGTGAGCCAAATGAAAGCAGTCCTGGGTGGGGTGAAATGGACGACACTGGAGCATCGACCACGGGCTGGGGGAACGCACCCTCCAACGCTCCAAATGCCATGAAACCTAGTAAGTTTAGAGCATTGTCTGTGAGGGATTTTCCATTAATTCGGGGGTCAGACATTTTGGTGAGGGCTGCTGTAATGTTTAAACTGTCATTTCAGTGAGATTCAGGACCGTGAACCTTTAATAGATGGTTAGTAACAAGTGGCCGTGACTTAGCTTTGGGTATTAACATGTTTACATTGAACTAGAAGTCATACGTTAATTTTGTTGATTTTATTTTAAGTTAGGTTTAGTATCTGGCCAGAATTGAAATGTTGATGTGGTACTTTTTTTTTTTTTTTTTTTTTTTTTTTTTTTTTTGCCAGTAACTTAAATACTGCTCACCATATCTATTTTGCATTTTTGCCCCTTTGTTAGTATAATTTAAAAAGATTTTCCTGGCTTTTTAATGTGGAACATAGCCTCTGCTGCCCAGTGACTTCACCCTTCTGTTTTCCTTGTCCCTTTGTGTCTCCTCTCATACTCCCACCCACATAGGAACGTTGAAGGTTTCTTGAACCCAACGAAGATTGCTTCATTTGGATTTTTTATACAAAGCATGTCACACTTATTCATAATCGTTGAAAGTCTAAGCTTTACTTGATCCAGCTGGCAACGTGTTGTCACAGCAGTTTGCAAAACTTTGTAAACCGATGCTATGGAATGTCTCGTAGGAAGTTCCTCTGTTGAAAAATTCAGTTTCAAGTGCCCATTTTCACTTGTTTGTAGTTTTCTTAAAAAGTATTCCAACATCTCTTTTCTGCCATATTGCAGACTTAAAGAATTATCTTCTTTTATTTTTAAAGTGTGGTCATATCGAATTCTCAAAATTTGAATGAGAATAATTCTGTTATCAGTTTTATTGTGTGATATTTCTGACTCTTCCAGTGCCCATGAAGAAGTACAATCATTGCTGTATTCTAGAAATTCATTCTTGTGTCGTTAATTTGACTGCAGTTTAAAAATTATCAATCTCCTTCACTGCATAGAAATAGCTTTATAAAGACCTTGATTTCATCATGATTTTCACAGTAAAACTGGTTGTATCATCACGGGAAATACCATGCCATAGACTTGAAATAGACCCGAAATGCTGGTGGAAGATATTAACCAGACCCTTGGCACAAGGAGGTACTTCAGCAGTACTGTCAGGATTTTTAGGTGTCTTTCCCAACCTCAGAATCACCTTGCCTCCATCACAAAACTTGCACTTTTCTCCAGATTTTTAAGAAAGTCTTCTATTCTTCAGGATCCTCTGTAGTTAAAGCTATAGTTATACTTATCTTTTGTCTGAGTAATGTGAATGTGGAAGGGGGTAGAATATTTGCCTGGCCGTATAGATGGATTAGATAAGATGACAAATATCCCAGAATGCCGTGTTCATAAGGACCAATCGTTGTGGTTATTGTTATATGTAGCTGTTGCATACAGTCCCTCCATTTTTTTTCTTAAAGATTCCAAATCTATGCAAGATGGCTGGGGGGAGAGTGACGGTCCAGTGACGGGAACTCGCCATCCCAGCTGGGAAGAGGAGGACGATGGAGGAGTCTGGAACACCGCCGGCTCTCAGGGAAGTGCTTCCTCCCACAACTCAGCAAGCTGGGGACAAGGAGGAAAGAAGCAGATGAAGGTAGCCCACTTTAGAAAAGTTCGAGCTTGTTTCTTCATTCTTAGAAGGCAGAACTGAGAATTTTCTAATGGAAGGAGCCCTGAGGTCCTAAGTAAGGGGAAAAATATTTTCTTAAGAGCAAATTGAGTACTTCCTCTTTACTCCTCATCTTCCTTCCCCATGACCTTGAAACCTTGAACCTCAGAGCTGTTGCTGTGGGTAAAGTGGAATTTTCAGAAACAGGAGATTTTTTTTTTCACTTTTAGTTTCCATATTATAATTCTTCAGAAGCTTTCAAGGCACACTTTGTAAATGTTTTATGCTTTTGCATTCTAAAACCAAGGAAGGCCTTAGGGTAAGTCCCCATGATACATAGAAGAGAAACCAAAGTAAGATAGCTTTTCCAGTGGCAATCAACGTGATTGGTTTTTCTCTGATGCGGGAAATTCCAAAACCCAGAACCATCCTCCCAGCAAAGCAAAGTGCCGGAGCACAAGCCTGATGCAGCAACCAGGTGATGTGCCTACATCCCGTACCAGCTTGCGTTTGAAAGCTGTTGGCTTTCCATATCTTGGAGCAGCTCCACGTCCCCCTTGATGTGCCTAATTCGATGAGGACTTTGGTTTCAATGTAGAACAGGTCTTTGAACCTGAACCACTCTCTCAGCAGAGGTGTTCTTTTCCCTTCCACAGATAAATTGATGGAAATTAGAAGTGGGCAGCCATATAATTTCAACTTCACAGTGAATATTGTCCTGGTTTCAAATACGAAGGGCCGTCCCAGAAGGTCTTCAGTTGGCTAAGGGGGCTGCGCCTTCATCACTTTTTGCTGTAGGATATTAATTTTGTTCTGAACATAGTAACTCGATAGCCTAAGAACACAGGTAGTTCCTGTTGGAGACATCCTGTTTAAGCGCCCCTTACAATTTCCCTTCTGAGGACTTCTTTCTGTTCGCCCTAGTCACAAAAGGAATTATTCAGTAAACTCCTCAGCATTTTTGTACTCTCAGGCTATCTGGCTTGTTGTGGTCTTGTTTTTGTCATTTACAAACTCCCATTGAGACGGAATGAAAAGGCAGTCAAGGGAGACTGCTTACTGACCAGAAGTGACCAGGGGGAAGGTGCTCACCCACTCAGGCTGCCCCATGACTGACAATTCTGTCCTTTTGTATCTGAGGGCCTTTTTTTTTTTTTTTAACTGATTGTGATGCAGATACAGACAACGTAAAATGTACCGTTTTAACCACCTTTAAGTGCGCACAGTTCAGTAGCATTGAGTACATTCAGCACCATTCAACACTAGACGATGTGACCATCAACACCATCTAGACACAAAACTCTTTTCATCTTGCAAAACTGAAACTCCGTTCACATTAAGCAAATCTACCAATTCTCCCCTCCCTCCACTGATGGCTTTTTTGACCTTAAAACCTGTAACTGAACTTAAATTAACTTACTCGCTTCCAAGAATTAATAACATTGACATAACAAATATCATCAAAACACAGTTTTTATTTGAAGAATGCACAAAGCCCCATCACCACCTCTCCCCACCAAGTCCTCATCATAGTCCAACCTGCCTTCTCTGCAGAAGTAAAAGTGGAGCTGATAGGGGTCCTCTTCAGGGAGACGCTAGGTTGTCCCTTCTTAAGAAATAAAAACTCACATCCGCCTTGCTTTACAGTAAGATCAGGGATGGTGTCTTTTGCTAGGCGTCTTTCCCACTGGGGACCCATGTCCTTTATACTACATAACAAGCAGATGAAGCGCTGCATAGATGAGTCCTCATTGTATCCACACAGAGACTAATGACCAGTTTAAATAGCCTATTTAAATAGGCTAGTGCCTATTTATTTTCCAAATAATAGGCACTAGCATCAAACTCTTTCTTTTCTTTTAATACAAACTGGCTTAGGTTACAAGAAGATACTAAAAGGGAAAGTACTAGCATGTGAACATTGTATTTTAGAAAATCTGATATTGACCTTCTATTTATAAGGTAAAAACACCAGCTGACTATATGTTTTTCCAGTTACTTCTAATTCAGTGTGACGAATAAAATAAGAATGAAAACACAGATAGAACTAGAGAACTTATTCTTCCAGACTAACTGAAAATATCAAAATAACCACAGTTAAAGAGGGAGATTTGGGTTCAAAAAGGTAAACTGTTGGTTCTGCATTTTCAATCAGTACTTAAATGCAACTCAGCTGTGAAGTGAGATAAAATAAATTATTTGGTTCTGAGGTTACACATTTCATTTCTATAGTGTTCACTGAAAGGAGGAAACAATGATTCATGGATGAATCCTCTTGCCAAACAGTTTTCAAATATGGGATTGCTGGTAAGTTTCATCTTCTCCTGTGTATAATATACCGCATCTTTTACTTTTAGCACAAATGTTAAGACCACTGTCACATACAGTTCAAAATTCTAGATTTAAGGGTGCCTGGGTGGCTTAGTTAGGCAACTGACTCTTGACTTTGGCTCAGGTCATGATCTCACAGTTCATGGTTTCAAGCCCTGCATTGGGCTCTGCATTGACAGTGCAGAGCCTGCTTGGCATCCTCTCTCTTCCTCTCTCTCTCTGCCCCTTCCCCCCTCAAAATAAATAAATAAACTTTAAATCTGTCTTAATTTAAAAAACAAAACAAAGTTACAGATTTGGAAACTGGTTAAACAATATTTCTCATTTGGATTGAGTGATATTTATTTTCTCTTATTTTTAATGAAATAACTCCAATACTTAGAGGTTATGACTTTTGAATTTGTAGTCCTTGTACCCTTTTCCTGAGGTAGTTAGGGGAAGAAAGAGCCAGGCCCTTGAAACTTACATAATTTTCCCTGACTACTGCTGTACCAGTTTTCATATTATACTTTTGAAAATGACAACAACTGCACAATAACTAGAGAAATTATTTATAATTAATTATATAGGGAATTCTTGTAGGATTTCTCTCTCTCTTTTTTTTTTTTAATCTCTTGGGAACATTGTGGGGACACCCCGTCCCTGGTTGCCAAAAGACAAACGGCTTGACTTGGCTGCACATTCCCAGATTTCATGACTTGACAAGTCACGAGAAGAAGTTGTCGTCATTTGGCTGACACTCCTGGAATTTGATCCCGAGCCGACTGGAACTTGAGGACAGGGTTTTATTTCTCTGAGCAGCTATTTAGCTGTTGCTCTGTCCGTAGAATTGCTGAAACTGACTGATTCTATGTGAAAATCGAATTTACAAATGTAGACCCAGCAGCAATCAAATTAGTCATATGATAAATGATATTGTCTTCATTCCCGTGTAAGGTTCACATCAAAGGACCTTGTGTGGTCCCACTAGTAAGCTGTCACTCCCACATAAATAATGCCTTTTTTTTTCTCTCTGATTCAAACATTGAATTCAAACCTTTAATCCTCCCTCACCGTTGCTTATTTTTCAGAGTCAAACTGAAGATAATCCAAGCAGCAAAATGGATTTGTCTGTAGGTGTGTATCACTCCACTAATGCGAATGGGATATATTGTTGTTAATGATGTCACGTTGGTTCCCTCCTCCATTTGACTGGGCTGGGTGTTAGTCAGCAGACACGAAGGATCGTCCTACACACTAGGTAGGGACTGAAGACTGAAATGGCTGCAGGATCCAAGAAAGTAACGTAGAGGAGTGGGGTATGCCAGGTATAAGAAATTGGGACTTGGAGGCCACCTGTAAGGCGGCCACTTGACCGCCCTTGGCAGTTGTTGCCTTGGAGGGTAAAGGCCCAGCTTTGTCAGCAATTCAGACATATGTTGACATCCTGATTTTTAAATACTGGAAACTAATTCAGATTTTAAAAACTGTGGTGTGTGGCCGAACAAAATATGTCTGTGGCCCCGCCAGACTCCACTTTCAGATTTCTCGTCGCGTGTGCACCGAGATGTTTCATTACTGACGAGCTGTCCCAGTGCAAGTGGAGCAGATGCCGTGTCAGCCCTTAGTCTGTGGGCTCCTCACCGTGATGCTGTTGCTCACTTTGAGGACCTTAAAGAGAGTCAAACCGAGAAGAAAGTAAAACAGTCCCGGGTCATAAGGGAAATAGCCTTTGATTGATGATATTTTATTTATTTTTTTTTTAATTTTTTTTTTTTTTAATGTTTTTATTCATTTTTGAGACAGAGAGACAGAGCATGAGCAGGGGAGGGGCAGAGAGAGAGGGGGACACAGAATCTGAAGCAGGCTCCAGGCTCTGAGCTGTCAGCACAGAGCCCGACGCGGGGCTCGAACTCACGGAGTGTGAGATCATGACCTGAGCTGAAGTCGGACGCTTAACTGACTGAGCCACCCAGGCGCCCCGATTGATGATATTTTAAAATCTAAGAATGACAGGGCGCCTGGGTGACTCAGTTAAGCGTCTGACTCTTGATTTCAGCTCAGGTCATGATCTCATGGTTCGTGAGTTCGAGCCCCGAGTCGGACTCCATGCTATCAGCGCAGAAGCTGCTTGGGATTCTCTCTCTCTCTTTCTTTCTCTGCCCCTCCCCCACTCGCTCGCAAGTCTGTCTCTCTCTCTCTCTCTCTCTCTCTCTCTCTCTCTCAAAATAAACAAGTAAACTTTAAAAAAGAAAAAGTCTAAGAATAACAAAAACGTAAGCTTCCAGGGGTACTGATCATGCCCATGTACAATAGCACATTTCCAGAGCTTTGAAGAAAAGAGGACCATCATGGTACCTAGGAAATCACATTGTTCACTTGATGTGTTCACGTCTGAGTTCTAAATTCTAGGGTCACAGCTGTGCCTAATAGGCCTCTTTATCCCCAGTAACTGTTTCACAACCAACCCTACCCATTTATCTGGCAGATGCTAAGTAGCAGCAAGAGACAAATTCTCTCACTGAGGACGTTTGAATTTATGAGCCAGTTATACTCCTCAAACACATCAGTAACCAGTTAGGATATTTTTTTAGTTGGATTTTTACCAGTTTGGCCCTAAGTCTCTCTTTCAGTCTTCCATTGAAAACAAGCTACAACAGATACAGATCTTTTAAAAAGAAACAAAAGGATCCACATGTGCTCCAGGGAGGGTCCCCAGCAGCCTCAACCAACAAGATCTCTCGTGGTCTTACACTTGACACCCCCGGGAGGCAAGCGGGACTGGTCACTCCTGGTCAAAACATTGGTTCTTGAAATTTTCACTTCTTCTGTGCTACTTTTCAGGGAGCCTTCCAGATAAAAAATTTGACGTGGACAAGAGAGCGATGAATCTCGGGGATTTTAATGATATCATGAGGAAGGATCGATCTGGGTTCCGTCCACCTAATTCCAAAGACATGGGAACCACAGATAGTGGGCCTTATTTTGAGAAGGTGAGTTGAATCCTTTGAGATAATAATTCATGTGAACCACTTTGGTTTCCATTTGTTCTTTTGATAATTAATTCCAGGAGGAAATGTAGAATTACTGAATTAATGAGCAAAACGCAGACATCACCTGCTTTTAAGTGGTGACGTGAAAACAATTGATGTCAACAGGTGATTGGGCAGTAGCTAGAACCATCTGTCCTTAGCATGTGAGTATGGTGAAGGTGGTCTGAATTTTTGGAAATTTTATGAAACTTGGAGGGGGTATATGGTCTGACTTTTTACAGTAGAAGAAATGCACACTCAAAATGTGTAGAAGAAATTTTAGAGATAAATTTATTCTGAATTCTTTTTTCTGCTGCTTTGCAATGAGAAATTAAATTTGGGATCTTGTGTAAACAATCTGTATCTCCCAAGGCCTTGCCTTCTAGCTTTGTCAAGATGGCCCAGAACTTGGTCTTTTGATGTTTTGAAGAGACTTCCTTTGTTTTCTCTCTCCATTTCCCCAGTGACCTATTTTTAGTTACAGTGGTACACTGTCCAAATTCTCAAGTACCTGATTTCAGTGTGTCATTTATACCTATTTGTTTTGATTTTTATCAGTTCTAATGGAGGAGATCATTCCTTGACTCAGAATACAGATTTTCCATGGCCCCGGTCTTCAGAAAGCAGTTAAAACTGAAAGTTTTAGATCTAGCACATTTTTGACACCACTGATGCTGGTCCAGGCAGCAACAGATTCACAAGATTACTCTGGCTTCTGTTTCAGCAGCCACATCGTTAGAGTAATCGATATTAGATGTATAAAAATAAAGTGTCTGGCAATGTTTATCTTCACGCAATGGGCAGAATGTGTTACTGACTTAGAGAATAAGAAAAAAATCTGGATCAGAGATGACAGATGGTGTCTGTTGGGCCAAGTGTGATGACTCTTACCAGATCCAAATTCCGTCCTCGTTTATTGCTAATACACTCTAATTCTGTTTGTTCCTAGTGTTTCTCTCTTGTCCCTTCTTGCATTCTGTTGCTTCACTAACCAACACTCCTTGTGATTGGCTAACTCCTACTGCTTTTCAGCTGACTTTGCCTTTCTCCAATCAAGATGGGTGCCTTGGGGATGAGGCTCCCTGCTCTCCCTTCTCCCCTTCTCCCAGCTACAAGCTGTCTCCCTCTGGTTCCACACTACCCAACGTCAGCCTTGGAGCAATCGGCACAGGGCTCAACCCCCAAAACTTCGCTGCTAGACAAGTAAGGAGGCCTCTCAAATTTATAACTGCTCGGCTGTGGCCTCGCCTTGGCCCTGGTCTGCAGTTTATTGCATTTTTTGTCTGTCTTGGGAAATTTGTTGATTACTGAATGCACAGAATGATGCTAAGTATTAGGCTTTAGATCTTTCAGCCCATAGAACCCATCTCTCTTCATGTTTTCTCAACATGGATTTTATTTTCAATCTGTTTCTTTAGTCCTCTCATATTTGGTCATAAGTTCACATTTAATAAGTTAACTAATAACTGGCTTAGGAAAATGTTAAAGAGGCTACATAGGTATCTTATTACGCCTACCTTAGCAACTTATTTGCCATTTTTAACATTAGATTGAATGGCAAGTGATACTTTTGAAGTCTTTTCAATTTGATAAGACTTCTAACTAGAAAACAGTGGCAAAACTAGTAAAGAGTAAATACTTGAGCATTACAGCATCTTAAAATCTAATGTCCTTAAGCGTAAAATATAATAATTAACCAGAGAAAGGTAATTTGATATGAGAGAACGAAGCTTTGGGAAGACTTGATATTGTTCAGATGTGGCAAACAGCCTGGGGCACCCCGTTCCCTAGGGGTGCGTCTCCATGGTCCCAGGAAGGGCTGTGCACTGGGCGAGACCGGCAGGGCTGGCCCCCTAAGGCCCCCTCTCTCACCTTTGCGGGCCTAAGGCAGCCTGAGGGGCTGTCACTGCAGCTCCTGTGTAGTTCTCATAGAGAAAACCAGGAATTTGGAGACAATTCCTTTGTGACAGTGACTCCAGGGATGATATTTTCCTAGCCACAGTTCTGTGACCACTTACCTGTCACTGTGGCTTTCACCTCAGGATATCATGGAAGGATGTTTAATTATTAATTGTATCCATTCTGTTTCCACATGAGGGCTTTCACATACAAGTTAAAGGATGATGTAAAACCTCTCTCACACCATAGTCCTCCAGTTACACGCAGGTCTTTCATACGCTTCTAATTGTTGCCTTAGCACATTTTTTAAATGGATCATGTTATATCCATGTATTCAGTTGGTTATCTCTGGTTTGGGAGTTTGGGTAATTTCTTGTTTTCTTTATTTTTTATATTTCCCTGTATTTCTTAATGTTTCCATAGAGAATGTAGATGTGTGTTGCTTTTATAAACAGAGAAGAAATAATTACATCAGTGGTTTGGGGCAGCTTTTTTGTTTAGGATTGAGGTATACAAAATATAAGTTACCCTAACACTCTTGAGTAATGATTATAAACATGCCCACAGGATCACATGTTTATCAAATGCCATTAGTATATAATTTTTAGCATAACATAAACCAGCCGAAGTATCCGTGCACTGGACACTAAGAAAAGGTCATTCCTCTTTGATTTCTTTTGGTTTGGTTTTTTGTTTTGTTTTTTGAATCTGTGGATTGCTACAAAGTCCATTGTGAATCAACTAAATATGATCATGACTTTTTTCACACGTGACTATTTTCATGCAGACTTCATATACTTCCTATTTAAAAATTAAAATGTGAGGTTTTTATTTTAAAATCACAGATTTCAGTCAGCTTGCTAACACTGTTTTTAATTTATATGCCTTTCTGAGTTAAACACTGTAGTTGAGGCAAATATCACCAATAAATATTGGACTCAGGTCATCATATAACAGTGAAGCTGTAGAAATAACCAGATTAACTGCGGTTAACATATAAATAGCGTTTGATGACCGCTTTCCTAATTTCTAAACATACTTAAAAAAAAAAACTGAATCTATATGATTGCCTCTAGACATATTAGTGTGCAAAATAGCTACTTCTAAGCTAAGAAAGCAAATGACAGTGCCAGGTTTCATATTTAAAAAGAGAGAAGGTGTTGTTTGATAGACTGCCATTGACTCATCTGTACTGTTATCCATATTGGACGTATCACAGGGCTTGATACGATTTTAGAGATACTTGATAAAGAAAACCTGAAACCTCTAGTGGGAGTAGGGGGCATCTGTCCACTGGGAATGTGCAGGTAGAGCCTGATTTCACAAGAACTAAAAAAAAAAGTGAAATTCCTTTTAATATTTCTTACCAAAAGAGCAGTTGGAATTTAAAATGATCCTCACAAAGCAGTTTTGGACCAGTTAAAACATGGATTCTGGGTAGGACTTCAACTACCAGTAACCCCACCATCCAAGGACCCGTCCAAGGTCATTACTTTGATAGTGAAGTATGAGAATCATCTTAGCAGAATATTCTCAATGAAACAGATGCTTCTTGTGTTCTTGAGAATGATCAGTAGGTAAGCTACCAGCTACCATGATCTCAGAAAAGTTAGAGCCAAGCCACGTCACCTTAGAGTGACAATTTTGATTAGTAAGTCAGGGGAAGTGGAGACATTATAGTTTGTAGAATTAAAGGTCTTTTCATGTTTTAAGAGTCCTTTGGGAGATTTAAAATTCATGGTAGATCTTTGATTTTCTTTTATGACATAGACACAGATTTTGATTGTCTTTTCCACTTTATGTTCATAGCCATTTTTATTTTCAGTGCTTTTAAGTTCATTAATTTTCCAGTAGCAGTCCCTTAATCTATTTTGAATCATTAAGCCATTGAAATATCGTTAGTGTTCTAGAACTTAATGGTGCTGTTCCAAAATTCTTCTTTAAAAAAATTTTTTTTTCAACGTTTATTTATTTTTTGGGACAGAGAGAGACAGAGCATGAACGGGGGAGGGGCAGAGAGAGAGGGAGACACAGAATCGGAAACAGGCTCCAGGCTCTGAGCCATCAGCCCAGAGCCCGACGCGGGGCTCGAACTCCTGGACCGCGAGATTGTGACCTGGCTGAAGTCGGACGCTTAACCGACTGCGCCACCCAGGCGCCCCCAAAATTCTTCTTTAAAATTACCTTAATCCCCGTGAAGCCACGGATAAGTTGGTGACTTCCGTTCAGAATACACAGACTAGGTATATAGGCAGTGGTCCAGCTGCCTTCACTAAGGATGTGCAGTAGGATGTTGCCAAGTGTATGAAATTGGTGGGTCATGGTGTTAGCATCCTACAGACTAGGACTTTATTACAGAGTTCTGGGAATACAGAGAAGGAAATATTAAGCTGGTGGTTGAAAGACAGAATGGAAAATAACTATAACATGACTTGCTGATGCCATCAAAGAATGACTTTAAGTGTTTTGAGAACATATAGGTGGGTCAGTTAATTTGAATGTGAACCGAGGAAGAAAGTTGGGGGAAGCCTTCCTTTATGAGGATGAGCTCTGAGCTAGGCCTCAAGGCCAAGTGAAGATGGTGTAGAAACTTTCCTCAGACAGAAGGAACAGTGTCAAGTTATCAAATATGGCTTTTTTGGCTGAAGGGCTTTTCTCAGCTCGAAACAAGTCAGAAAGGCCATCATATAGCCTGGTTTTCTGTAATTCTTTGATTGGAATAGCCTAGAAGTGGTCCAGTGAGTTCGTCCTCCAGAAATCAGGGAATTAAGCTTATTTTTTACCAGGCTGGCATTCATACACTGGAATGAAAAGTTACAGGTGAGTAATGAGGTTTTTTTTAGTGCCCCATAATGGTTTTTCACTTTTTCCTTTTCTGCTTTTGTTTTTTTAAATCTCACTCTTGATTTAGATTTTGTCATCTAGCAAAGGAGGGATCAAGCAGACCCAAGATAGGAAAGCCTATTTAGATCTGGAGTAGAGTTCTTAAGGAGCTAGACTACAAGCGGGTGGCACTGATTCTGTGATTGAACTAATCAAGCCAGAGACATTACTATCATAGTGTTGTTTTACAGTTGATATTATACAGAAGCCTGCATTTGTGCTCAGGTGCCTTTCAAGGTGGAGCTCAGATTATTGGATTTGAGAATAAACTTGGTAAACCCAGTCTTTAAAAGAAAAAAAGAGAGTAGTCGAAATAAACATTATATTGCCTATACCTTTCAATTACAAAAAAAAAAAAATGCTTTTTTGAAACATTTGACCAAACATAAGCCTTTCGGTTATAGAGTGCCTCAGACTGCAGGGGTGGTGGTGCTGTGTGCATGATTTGATTTGGATAATTTTCCCAAGCATTCCGAGACCAGGAATTTTTCGGTTATAAAATTCTGTGATTCCACGGAACACAGGATATGATTCTTCTGAGGGATAGAAAACCAGAACTGTTTCTTTTTCACGTTTTCTTACGTTAACAAAAAAGCCTTAACTGTTGCTGTTGTGTTTGCAGGGTGGCAATCATGGTTTGTTTGGAAATAGCACAGCACAATCGAGAGGTATGCACACGCCAGTGCAGCCGCTAAATTCTTCTCCTAATCTCCGGGCGCAAGTGCCTCCCCAGTTTATTTCCCCCCAGGTAAGCGATTTTATGTTTCCACGATTCAGCAGTAAAGCCTCTACAGGCGGTGCCCAGTTGCCAACTGGGTTTTGTGGGCAGAAAAGGAATAATAGTTACCCAAATGTCTAAAATGTAAAAAGTCTTGGGGCACCTGGGGGGCTCAGTCAATTAAGCGTCCGCCTTTGGCTCGGGTCATGATCTCATGGCTCATGGGTTCAAGCCTGTGTCAGACTCTGTGCTGACAGCTCGGAGCCTGGAGGCTGCTTCAGATTCTGTGTCTTCCTCTCTCTCTGCCCCTCCCCCACTCGTGCTCGCTCGCTCTCGTGCTCTCTCTCTCTCTCTCAAAAATAAACAAACATTAAACAAAATTTTTAATGTAAAAAATCCAGATCAAGATTTTTGGAACAAAATGTCCAACTCCTTGTTGTATTGTATCGTACACACAAAGATGGTTTTCTATGAAAAGCATTATGATTACATTCCTTTTCGATCTCTCCGTATTTTTTCCAGTACTGCATGCATTGGTTTAATTGCGTGTAATTGAAACTACCGTACAAGTACTGCACTGTACTGATGTGCCAATATTCTGAAATCGGTTGCCCTTGAGGATTCCCCTGCAGGTAAATGGGAGAATAGCCAGGTTCTGACGTATTCTGAGACGTTTTAAGGAGCTGGATGCTGAAGTGCTGGCTAGATGCTCCAGGGGAGTGTTGAGAACAGATGAAGCGGCAGAGGCTTCCTCATGGAGCAGCTCTGCGTTGTGGGATACAGTCCTTTGTTTGGGAAACCCTTTAGGTCTGTTTCTTAGTAGGACATGTGCAGCGCATTGTTTGCAGGCTCCAGGTGACAGATTTGTGCCAGTCTGCCACAGAGCCCCTCGTATGTCTGTGAGAAAGTGGGTCCGAAGAGCAACATCAAAGTTGATGAGCCCGTGTGAGGATTCAGCATGGGACCTTGGTCTTCTCATAATGTTCCTTCGGTGAACTGAGATCAAAAGCGAGGAGTTCATCCCGTCCGACAAAAGGGGGCGGGGCACTTAACTAGGTCCAATCAGCAGAACGTAAAGGGTCAGGTTTTATTGCTGTTTTGTTTTTTGAAATATCTTTTAAGACAAAGTCTTAAAACATTTTATTTGAGGGGCACCTGGGTGGTTCGGTCCATTAGGTGTCCGACTCTTGCTTTCAGCTCAGGTCACAATCCCAGGATCATGAGATTGAATCCCGCATCAGGTTCCGTGCTGAGCTTGGAGCCTGCTTAAGATTCTGTCTCTCTCCCCCTCTCTGTTCCTCCCCTGCTCATGTGTACACCCTCTCTCTTTCTTTCAAAGGTGTGTGTGTGTGTGTGTGTGTGTGTGTGTGTGTGTGTGTGTGTGTGTATTTTTTAACCATAACCTATAGATTTCAAATTCTGTTTTTGACATTGAGTCTGTAACTGTCTTAGTAGAGGAAGGAATGTTCCTCACCCTGCCCTGTCGTCTCCATGTCCTGCCCTGGGTGTCTGGGAGTCCTCTGAAGTGTCTCTCCTTCCTCACCTCTCTAAGTGCCAGTCATTCTCCAGGTCCCAGGTGGCAGTCTGTCCTTTAAGAGCTGTTCCTAACTTCCCCAGCACTCCACAGTGGTTGTGTCTTCTTAACTCCATGAGCTCCCTCCCACATGTCAGGCCACAGTCCTGTGGTTACCAACTATCTGCGGTGTGCCTGGTAGTGTGTTGGCCTCACACGGTGGAGAAACCACCGCCTCCTAACACTGCCTCCTGGAGTTGCTGGGGGTGATAGCAGAACACTCAGCAAACAGGCAGCATGATAAATGTGATGTAGAAATGCTTAACACAGTTTGGAAGCTGGGCGAGGCCGTGCACTAGGAGTGACATTTAAGCTGGGCCTTAAAGAATGAGTCAGTTTGCTGAGCAGAGCCAGGTTTAAATGTGCAGCAGGAGCAGCTTGGAGGACAAGGGGCAGTAATATCTGGAAGAACATGGCATGTTTGGAAAAATGCAGTCGGTTTGAATAATTAGATTAAGCTTGTTGAAGCATATAGATGTTGTCTAGAATGGAATAGGAAAAAACTAGTCAGGGAGTTTGGCACCAGATTTGGAAAAGCTTTCTTTGCCTTGCTAAGGAGTTTGGACTCTGTCCCTTGTAACCGTTATCTGGGCTACTTCTTAAACACAGTTTCCAGGTCTTCTGCAATCTACTGAGACACAATCTTGGGAGTTAGGGCCTAGTAACCCCCTGCTGATTTTTATCTGCACCCTAAGGTTTAGCTGCTGCTGCTATAGATAATGTAGCATTGGGCAAAATTGTTCAGCTGAGCGGCAATGTAGGAAAACTTAGGTTTTGGAAAAAATAACATTGACAGCAATGTGGAGGACATATTTGAATGGCAGACTAACTAGAGCAAAGGAGCTCAGTTACAAGGCTAGTCCAGGAGTCCGGGTAAGGAGGTGGCAGTGGGAATGAAGACATTGTGAAGGTCCCAGATGACCTTTGTGTTGTGGGATACCGCAGTCACTTCTCCAGTCTCTCCTTACTCTGCATATCCACGGCATCTGACATAGTTGATCATGTCGTCCCTTTTGAAACTTTCATTCATCTGGTTTTTGGACACCTTGTATATTGGTTCTCCACCTGCATTTCTTTCTCCGTCTCCTTTACAAGCTCCTCCCCCCCTCCCCAACATTTAAATGTTAGGGGCACCTGGTGGCTCAGTCAGTGAAGCATCTGACTTTGGCTCAAGTCATTATCTCATGGCTCTTGAGTTCAAACCCCAAGTGGGGCTTTGTGCTCACAGCTCAGAGCCTGGAGCCTGCTTCAGATTCTGTGTCTCCCTCTCTGTCTCTGCGCCTCCCCTGCTTGTGCTCGCTCGCTCTCTCTCTCTCTCTCTCTCTCAAAAATAAATAAAAACATTAAAAAAAAAAAAAACAGAGTGACCCAGTCACAGTCCTTGAACTTCTCCTCACCATCAGCAGCTACTGCTGGGTGACTTCACCCAGCAAATGACTTTAGGTATGACAGGGCCAAAACTGAGCCTTCAGCCCAGATCTCCGTTCTCAATTCCATGGGCTTCTGGGCATCTCTGCTAGGATGCCCTATAGGCACTTCATGTCAACATGTCCGAAACAGAGCTCATGATTTCATCCCATACTCCCCTCTAAAACATCCCCTTCCTCTAAGTAAGCAGCTCTTCCCCTCTGCAGGTGCTTGGGCCACAGGCCACAGAGCTAGTGGTGAGGCCTCTCACGGTCCACATTCAGTCCATCAACAAGTTCCCCTTTAGAACTTTGTCCTGAATCTGACCCTTCCCTACCGCCTCCTCTAACATGACCCATGGCGAGCGACCACCGTTTCTTTCCTAGAAACGGCCTCCTGACTGGTCCTGCCCTGTCATATACAACACCTGCCTCCAGTCTGTTCTCTACCCAGCGTTCTGACTGACCCTCTAAAACCACACTCTCCAGGGTAGGCCTTAGGCCACCTGAGCACTTGAAATGTGACCAGTGGAGTGGAAGAACTGAAATTTTAATTTTAATTGATTTAAATTTAAATAGACATGCCTGGTTGGTGGCTACGGAATGAATACTGCAGAGGTGGAGCTTTTCCAGCATCACAGAAAGCTAAGGGTAAATCATGTCACTACTTTAACCTCTCATAGCTCCTTCTCTCACTGAAAATACAAAGCCAGCTCTTTGCTGTTGTCTTTGACGCTCTTGGTGACCTCCTGCCACCCCCACCCACACCTGCCACTCTCCACTCAACTGGCCCCAGCGCACCAAGGGTGCTTCTAGAACACTCTTCTCCCAGATTGCCACATGGCTCCATCTGTATTTGCTTCAGATCTCTGCCGCCATGGCACCTTCTGGGAGAGGCTTTCCCAGGCCGGGCTGAGGACAGTACGGCACCACTTGGCTGTCACGCCCCCAGGCGCGTGTTAAGGTTCACAGTGGCAGGGTCTGTGTCTACTTTGTTCACTGCTGGATCCTGAACATCCACAACTGTGCAGGGCATGCATTTTGAGTAAATATGTGTCAAATCATGGGAAGACGCACTTCAGAATGATTTAGAAAGTAGAATATTGTTAGGAAAAAAACTTATTCTGAGAGACTTAAAGGCTGCCAATCTCTTTATGACCAAAGTATCTGCTGTGCATGGAAAAGAAAAGCATTTGTGTTCTACATTTTTGGGATTTGTTTAGCAAAACATGGTTAACATTATTTGATGCATAATGGGGGCAGAATATTAAACAATGAAAACTTCAGATTTTTCAGGTTTTTTTCCCTAACATTTCCATATTTTAAAAAACAAAAGAGCTGGATAGCTTTTTTTTTTTTAAGTAGAGGCAATATAATAACCACACTGAAAGTTTGGATAATGGAGAAAAAATTCTTCCAGAAACCCCCAACCCAGATGCAAAGACAGGGATTATTTTTACAAAATCCCCTACTCAGACTTTTCGTATCCAGGCATACTTTCCACATCATGATATCCATGGTCACTATATCCTACTGTTTGTGTTAACTTTGGGTCATACGTAGTATTTTCCTCTGTTACTACGTAGTTTTCCTGTTGATTGTTCTTAATGAAGAAGGCATAATGTTCCATCAGGTAAACTTACTTTGATTTCCTGGGACATTCTCTTCGCCTATTATTGGATAGTAAATTATTTCTAATTTTTCACTGTTCTAAATAATGCAGTAGAGAAACCCATATACTTAGATCTTATATGCGATCCTTATACATAGATATTTTGCCCACATTATTTCCAAATTTAGTTGCCCAGGATGAAATTTATGGGTCAAAGTACATGAACACTTATGGTTTTTGAAAATACCAACTTTTACATCCATTTTAACTGTCTTTAGGGGCAGTCAGTATTCAGTGTGAACATGGGAAGAAGACACTGAAACTCATCTTTAAGATTTGTTACAGATATTCCAGGCGTTGGGTTTCTGCCTTGCCTTTTTCCTCCTGTTACTCAAATATTCAGAACGTAACCTATTCTACCAGGCTTTTGTCTTGCTTT